GGTTTGAAATTTCCCATACAGTTTAAACGGGCCCCTTAATACGTTAAATGGGAAAATTTTAAAAAATTTTCATTTTTGATATCATTTGTTTTGAAATAAACAGTTCCAAAAAATATTTTAACATTTTCATAAAAAAAATTTTTAACGTTTTTAAAGCGTTTAATTTAATTTTGGGAAAAAATTTAAAGAAAAATTAAAAATACCGGGAAAAAATTTGAGTTTACACATTTTTGGAATATTATTGGCTTTTTTTTAAAGCCTCCCTAGGGGAAAATTGGATTTTGGTATAAAATTTTTGATACACCTGTAAAATGGTTTAAATCATTACTTTAAGGGGACAATTTTATTTAAACCCAACCCCTTCCCAATACTTTTCATTGTGCCTTTAACAAAGTGTTTAAGCTTCTGTATTTTTATTTTTTTAAAGAAATAACGGGTAAAATGAAAAATGGCATTTTAAAAAATTTGGGTTTCTGTTTTTCTTGCATAAAATGGGGAATTTTTCCTTTAAGATTAAAAAAGATTGAATGTGGTCAAATATTAAAGTGATATATAAGACAATTATCAAAAAAAATTTCCATTTTTTTTCTAAAAAGGGGCCCATTATCTTAACTTTAAAGTACCAAAAATTTTTTCACCCAAAATTTTCGGGTTAAATTATTTAATGCTTTGGGGTTTGCTTTTCCAAAAAACTTCCCAATTTTAAATTTGACTCTTTTTGTAAACAATAAAAATTTAAATTAAATTTTGATTTTTTGGGAAAAATCTCTATTTATTACTTTCAGTGTATTGTTTTTTTTTCCCCCATTTTTTTGATTAAACTATTAAAATTGAGACCGTCACAACATAGGGGGTTTTGCGCCCAGCAGGACCAGCCAAAACCCCGGGCGCTTTCCTGCAGTCTGATCAGGATCCATGCCGTTCGTTTCCCAACTCTTTTAAAAGTGAAAAATTTATACGAACAGAATGGACCCTAATTCGGGAACGGGGGGATGCGCAACTAGTCGGGAAATCGGATCCCTTGGGCCCGGCAAACGCCTATGTTTTTTTGCGTAAACACGTTTTTTTATCTATTTGGGGGTTGTTATTTTTGCCCAGGCTTTGTTTGCCCTTTAAAGGGTTTTCATTAGATTAATCTCTCTAACTGGGGGAATTTTTTTCTTGCTTATTGAAAAATTTAGTTATGATATACATGTAATAAGCCCACAGGTAAAAATTTTATAAAACACCCCTATGTATACTTTTTTTGTTAAAATAATACATGTTGGGAATTAATTTGTTTATGTGAAAAAAGGTCACATATAACTTTGCGTATTTGGGGGTCAAAACACAAATTTAAAATTTTTATTTTGTTGAATTAATTTTTGAGAAGTTCCTTTTAAACATTTTAAGGTTATGAGGCTTTTTACACATTTTCTTGTCCTGCATTTTTTTTATAAATGACATTTTGACAATAAGAAATAGCCCATTGAATTGCTTTTTGATTGAATTTTTAATTTTCTGACCCCTTAGAATATGGTTTTTAAAAAATGTGACTCACAATATCAAAACAATTTGATTTAAAGCATTAAGTCATAGGTCAGAAAATTGTTTTTTTAATTTTCATTATATAAATTTTTTTTATGTTAAAGTTTGGGGAAAGGTGAGTTTTTAAGGTCATGAAAAATTCCACTACTGCTTTTGTTTTTTTAAACATTGTTTGATAATTCTAAAATTGCTTAATTTTTTTACATGGTAAGAGTTGTACAGAAAAAAAAAAGCCAAATATAAAAAATTTTAAAACTTTGATGGACTTATAATCATTTTAAAATATATGTATATGTATGTAGAAACTATGTTTTTTGGGTTAAGGGTTAAACCAAGTTTGTAGTCAAAATTTGTTTTTTTAAAATGGGTGTAAATGTTAAGCGCCCTTGTAAATAAATTTCTTCCTAGGTGGGCAAACTTTTTAATTTTCTTTTTTGACCACTAATGTTATTTTTTGAGTTTTAAGCCAGAATTTCATTTTTTTTAGATTTTTTTTAAAAATGGTTTTGTATTTTTAAAAAGGAAAAAAAATTGTTTGCCATAAAAAAGGTTTTAGTTCTCCCCTTGTTTTTTAAAAATTCCTTGGTTATAAAAGGGAAATTATATAGGCCTTTTAAAAAATTAAATTATCTTTTGAGACGTAAGATAAAAATTGGTTTACGAAATATTTATTTTTTTTTTTTAAACCTTCCATTTTTTAAAATATTATAGAATTTTTTTTCAAGTTTTCAAAAAAATTTATCGGTAAACTTTTAAATATAGGCCTCCTTGGCTGGAAATAAAGAGACGGGGAAAAAAATATTGACTAAGTTTTAAAATTTTTTTTTTTAGGTCAAACCATTTGAAAAGAACTACTTTCCATTGAAACTATAGGCAGCGGGTAACAAATTTCCACTGTACATATCTTTAAGTTGTTATCTGTTTGTATGTATATCATTATATAATGATAATGTTAGTGTGTTTTATGTATCTCTGTACCTTTTTTGTTTGTTTTTAATTTTATTGTAGTTAGATTTTTGCAGATTTTAATAGTGCAATTACTTTAACTTATGTTAACTTATGGCTGTTAGAATATATACATATAGGCATTTATAGTTAAGTGTTCATGAACGTACTTGTCAAACTACATTTTGATTTAGTTGAGGCCAAAGTTTTTAACCAGGTTTTCAATTTTGAAAATCCTGGTTATTAGATTGGGGTATGGCGGGCGATGGGCGGAATGGCGGACTGGGCGGATGGGCGGATGGGCGGGCGTCAAACGAAATTGTGTCCGCTCTGTAACCCTTCAACCCTTTTGAAGAATTTTGATGAAACTTCAGACAAATGTTTACCACATCAAGATGACGTGCAGAACGCATGTTCCGCATGGCTGGCTCCAAGGTCAAGGTCACAGTGACATTAACATTGAAAATCCTGTCCGCTCTGTAACTCTTCAACCCTTTGAAGAATTTTGATGAAACTTCAGACAAATGTTTACCACATCAAGATGACGTGCAGAACGCATGTTCCGCATGGCTGGCTCCAAGGTCAAGGTCACAGTGACATTAACAAAAATTGAAAATCCTGTCCGCTCTGTAATCTCTTCAACCCTTTGAAGAATTTTGATGAAACTTCAGACAAATGTTTACCACATCAAGATGACGTGCAGAACGCATGTTCCGCATGGCTGGCTCCAAGGTCAAGGTCACAGTGACATTAACATTGAAAATCCTGTCCGCTCTGTAACTCTTCAACCCTTGAAGAATTTTGATGAAACTTCAGACAAATGTTTACCACATCAAGATGACGTGCAGAACGCATGTTCCGCATGGCTGGCTCCAAGGTCAAGGTCACAGTGACATTAACATTGAAAAACGAAATCCTGTCCGCTCTGTAACTCTTCAACCCTTTGAAGAATTTTGATGAAACTTCAGACAAATGTTTACCACATCAAGATGACGTGCAGAACGCATGTTCCGCATGGCTGGCTCCAAGGTCAAGGTCACAGTGACATTAACATTGAAAATCCTGTCCGCTCTGTAACTCTTCAACCCTTTGAAGAATTTTTGATGAAAACTTCAGACAAATGTTTACCACATCAAGATGACGTGCAGAACGCATGTTCCGCATGGCTGGCTCCAAGGTCAAGGTCACAGTGACATTAACATTGAAAATCCTGTTTACATGATTTTAACTTGATTTGGCAGTCAAAGGTCATATCATCTTTGGAGGTAATTTAAAAAAGATATGATATATTATTTCATGTCTACTTTGTAACTTGTTTTTCATTATAAAGAATTATCAATATAATTATAGTGAACAAATTCTTCTGTGCTGAACTCGTCCTACATTTCTCAACGGATTTTGTTCAAACTTTCACAGAAGCTTTGTCATCAAGCACCCTGGCACATATTGTCGGGGTTTTGTGATTGGATAGTTTTTGACCTAATTATGGCCCTTTGTTTTTTTCCTTATACATAATATTATAGTGGAACACTTCTTCAGTGGCAATTCCTCCTACATTATTCATGTTTTACATTGCACATAGTTACATTGTTTGTTGCTTGTATTTGTATTTCAAATACAACATATTTATCTACAATGGTGATAATTGAAAACCTGGTTTCATGGCATTGCCATGTTTCTTGTTTTTCCTTGCACATACCATGACTCATGCCGTTCTGTAACAAAACATGGTCTTTCAAAGACCCTGACCAGAATTTGTCGGAAGAACAACTTTGGTATTATATAATTAGTCAAGATTTAATATTTCTTCCAAAAAAAACCTGATACACATGTCCATAAACTATTTATAGAAAATACAGATGTACAAATATTAGTAATGAATTTGTTCACAGTGTTTTACCCGCCATGTATTTATGTTATTGTATAAGAATTAATGATAAGTTATGCAAGATTTCTTACGTTCTATATATTGTTTTTTTATCTATAGAGTGGTAAGTGATGGAAATGTTTTGTTTAAAGACCATTCTGTACCAATTGGAATGTACAGTTGAGAAATATATGTCTCTCATAATTGTTAATTAACTAACTTAGTATACACTCTGACTTAGGTGGTCATTTTGTACATGGGGTACATGGTACAGTATTACTAGAATCTGTACCTTTTGCAGCACTTTTTCTGTACCAAAATCCTGCAAATTTGCATAATAGGTACAGTTTGAAAGTTTGATTTAGGGCATTTGCTTATTTTAGTGTTAGATACCATTTTATCACTTTTCTCTTTAATAAGTTTTCATAATCATATTATGCTCCTTTTTACATGATAAACAAACAACAGGATAACTTTTCCATGGTTGGTTCAAGTAAAACAATGATAGACACCATTCACATTCTACTGGGTAAATCCCTCTAGGATTTAATCTACAACAGTGTATTTTTCAAGCTTTTAGCTTATCTATAGATTGCCGTTACATTTCAAAACAACTCATTATACACACACAACAATATACAATAAAGAATAAAACGTTTGTTATGAGTTTGTTTATTTTCTTTTGAAACATATAAAAATGTAAACACATAATACGGGAAAAAAACAGTTGACAGTGTCACTAAGTGAGTATTAACAGTAATGGAATGTGTATGAAAAAAGATAGTGCACTTATACAAATACATGTATACCGTCAAAATAGTTTGAGTACTTTTTTGACAGCACATTTTGAGTGCAGAAGAACTAGAAATGTCAAGGTCACTGATTACCAATATGTTGTTTTTTCTATAATAAAAAACCCCAAAACAAACCCGTTTACAATCCTTTTGTAAATATCCTGATTTTGTGAAGCCTACATATTCCTATGTAAAATGCAGACAATGTGGCCGAGTATGAGATCAACTTGATTGAATATCATATCAAAATGGTAAGTTGGTAGACATGTTTACAACACTTGAGCAAATCTTTGTTTTTTATCATCAAAATAAATTATTTGAGCATATTAGTTTGAAAAGAAAAAAGGAAATTTAGTTTAATAACATGCGTTATGAAATAAATATTATGCCGATTTCTTTTTCCTCATTGAAAATGGGACACATGGTACTTTTAATTTCGTGTCCACACAATGGTCTAATACACAAGTAGGTTGTATCACAAATGAGTCGCTCATTAACTGTATTTTAAGACCTGGTACATAGCGTGTATATGGGTATTTAGCTGTAGCCGCGTGCATGAGATCATCTATCACTTGATATGTTCGTCTGCTTGACATTTGTAGGTTAGTCAACATTTTCTCTAAAAACGCGCGGAAATATGTGTCACCATAATCCACGCGGACGTTTTCGTCTGTCTCTGACCACATTTTCTGGTTCATCTGCACGTGGTAGTCACCGTCTGATATGGCTGTCCTAAAAAACGACAATATTTGTTTAATCAATCACTGACTTTTTTCTACGACCGGAAGAAAAAAAGACACGTTGCGTTGAAATTGAGAAAAAAGTAAATAAAACATCCAATTAGTTTGCTTTTATTTACTACATACGGAAGTTGGTGACATGCTGTTTCCAGACAGAGGGAAACCTATTTCCGTGAAATAAACAACTTGTTTACTTGATTCCTAAACGTGCCTACATTTCGAACAGAAGAAATAATTGAATTGTATTAACAGAGGATATTATTGCTGCCGATGAACAACATTCATGATGATCATTTCAAATAGAATGATCGAACTTTGCTTAATTCATTATGTAGCAAAAATGATGAAAATAGCTCACTACCTGTAAAGTTTTGGCTCTATACTAATGACCTTGACTCCGAACTTCCTCATTTCCCGCCTTAAACTGTCCGAGAATCCAATAAGACCGTATTTCGAGGCTGAATAAGCTGTAAAACCAGGCAATGCTAGTCGACCTGAAAAAAAGAACGTGATAAAGTATACATGTATTGAACTTGAATATAAAAAAGCACGGGCATCTGAGGTATTCATCTTCAAAAAATAGAAAGTCAGAGTATGAGTGAGAGATCGACTAAAATGCCTCAGAAACGTTAGCTTACTGGACTTGTAGGAAGATATTCCTCCTGTTTTAAAAATAATGATAAAAGTTCATGAAAGAAATAACATTATTTACAGGCCTACTGTAAGTGGACACACTAATTACTGCTGCATTCTTGTAATTTACACTACCTGCTAGACTAGATATAGTGATGACTCGGCCTTGTGCTTTCCTGACGAGAGGCAGACATGCTTTAGTTACCCTGATTGTCCCCATGAGATTCACACCTATCACTTTGTTATACGCGTCCATACTGCACCATTCGGTTTCAGCAAATACTGCAACACCGGCATTATTTACCACTGCCCATAAACCTGAAAACACAAACCGTCAAGATAGTATCCTTATAACCGCACATTACATAAAATTGCTAATTTTTGAATCTATACACAGCTGTGTCTAAACTTCATGACGTCAGACCAGGGACGTAACGTTACGCAATAAAATCCTCGTATGGATACTATAATATTCTATTTATCACATACCCAAAATAAAGACCGTTTAAAGTGCAAAAGAATATTTTTTCATCGACTCGGCGACTCGCCCATATTGCGTAATGCTAACATTTAGCCATATTTACACATTTTTTGCATAACGCAACAATGACGTAACGTCAAAATATATGCACGGGCGTGCAATACCTTTTTTACGGAGTCGCAAAAGCGAAACGGGTATGTGATGAAACTGTCTATGTTATCTTACGTCTATGAAAATATGCAACCAACTATAATGATGTACGTCACTCAACGTTAATGCAGAAAATAAGACACTCGACTTTTACTCACCCTTTTGAGACAGATTTTGGAACAATGTTTGTGTGGCGCTTTCCACAGATTTGTCGTTTGTAACATCAACTTGTAGGACGGTGACTTTGGAATAGGTCTGTAGTCGTTTAGCGCCATCACTCGCCGTATCCAGGCAACCTGCGTAAACTTCATACCCTTCCAAAGCTAGCTTACATGCTAACGTCTCACCAAAACCTCTGTCACAGCCTGTATAATTATGAATACTATATACATTGTACTTTAAAACTAGTAAAATTATGTTACATTTAAGTGGGGTCAAAAGTTTAAACGTAAAGAAATGAATAGAAAAAGCACTTGAATCAGAGGCATGCAGCACTTGTAGACTGACCTGTATCTATGACAACTTAGATACTCGATTTACTGGGACAGTGTCATAATCTATATAGTCTATAGTAACCAAAATCGTTATTATACAGTATACTGTAAACTGTACTGAACAGTACAGTGCGCGCTTATTTGAATTTAGTAGAGCTAATTATTTAAATAGTACTGTATGGTTTATGGTAATGAGCGAAAGGATAATATAATTATAGATCTATATCAAGAGTAAAGTATTTAAGTAGACATAAAGAATATTTGACGATGTTAATTACGCATACTATACATATAAAGTGTATTATACTTGAAATACAAAATATGCTGACATAATCATAAATGTAGATCTACACTGATGTAGTGTAATATTTGCCCTATATTTTTACACTGTTACTCCGCGTAAACTAGTGTATTGGTAACAAAACATACATGTACATACCCGTTATAAAAACAGCTCTGTCGCCTGCTTTAATATATTTCCGTCTTAGATACCAGTTAATTCCAAAACACAGAACTATTATTATCAAAAACGGAAATATCGCCAAAACCGGACACATTTTCTTCTGAGAGTATTGGAAAAACAGCAAACCGGTGCCACGGAATAAATTACATGTTATTATTTGAAATCGATCGCGTCAACACAATATGTACCCGTTAAATATTGCATTAAACCAGCAGTATTGATCTTTACGCTCTAGATATTCGCTTGTAAAGGTATTAACTGTGGACTAATTTTATTTAAGTCTGTACACGTTAAAAGTTTCATTGTAATCTAATCTTTTTATAAAATATCCGATATCGTTGCGGATATGGTAAGTGCATTTATTCGTTTCAACAGTGAAATATAAATAATATATCTACTATATAGTATGCTACTATACCAGTTTATATGATACACATGAAGTAGGGCCTAGTATTCATAAGTATTAATACCTTAAAAGACGTTTAAATAATTTGTATATACATTTGACCCTATTTATAACACAAAAATTGTCATTTCTAATAATTGAATCTAATTTGTTAACATTTTTACCATATATAATTCATCACGAAAAAGTTAAAACCGATCTTTTTTTCTTTGGAATTAAAACGTCATTATGTGCACGACAATTTTTTGCAGAAGTAATTTGATTATTTACATGAACAACTCAATTTTTCGAAATATTCTATTTCCGGGAAGGAAATAAAGATTTTACCAGGGGAATACATGCAATGCACGCATTAGTCCAGAAACTAGTTCAAATAAAACATTTTAGCATCTTTATAAGATCACATGTACATCTAAAAATGTCACACAATTTTATGATGATTGTAATATTTGTAATATTTTTAATTCAGTAAGTTAATTCACATTCTCCATTAGGCTGATACATGACATTTATACTGTATTTATAGCTGCCGTAATATTTCGCGCGCGCGTGTATGTCTGCGCCCCTGTGCGTGTGTGTTTTTTGTTTGTTTATTTGTTCTGTTGTTGTTGGTGCTTAATTTTTTGTTTGTTTGTTTGACGTTTGTTTGTAAGGTTTTATTTTTCTATTTTTTTTGCGGGGGGGGGGTTATAAATTTTCTACAGACATCAAAGTATACCTATAAATTTCTGAAAACAAGTGCATAATTTATAAAGATTTTATATTTAAAAAGAAATGTCTTGACATGTCTTTTGTATATGATTAGAGTAACAAACTAATGAGTCTATATGCCGTATCAACAAATAAGATGCTGCGTTATAATTCACTGTTTTCTATTCTTTCCTATACGAAAACTCTATCAAACAATCTCAACCATTCAATCTAAATAGGCAATAATGTAATGTGTGCGCACTTTAACCTATGTACTTCTTTCATAATATCCTAGAATTCTTAAGAAAGCCTAAAGCTTTCAATTAAAATGATGTTTTTGCTTATAAAAAATAGAATCACGTGATAAGTGACAAGTATAATTGAATGGCTCTCGTGCTATCTTAATTGTTTGTAAGAAAGTCTGCTGGTGACAGTTCCTTATTGAGGTAGTTATTTTGTTCACTAAAATCCTATTTCTACTAAGCGATCAGCAAAGTGAAACAAACATTTGCGTTAATATTATTTTAAATTAAAGTCACATCCACTCGACGTCATCATCGTTTTTCATGGTAGAAGTATATTGATGGACCATGCGTAAGCAAGCTCTGCCATCTCAGAAATGGCGAAATTTACACTCCTCAAATGTCAAGGTCACAGTTTATACATCGCACGAACTAGTGTATTCAGTAGGAATACGTCAGTTAAGTTTTTAACAACACACGACCAGGAATTCTTCTGCACTATGCTAATAAACACTGATGCATGCACCAGATTCCTGGCCGGTTCAAAAGAAATTAAATTAAAATGCACTTTTATAACAGAATCTTCCGTATAAACTACATGTATGCATATCAAAGTACAGTGGAACCTGCCTAATCCGAACTCGTCCGGACTAGAAGAAAAGTTCGGATTAGAAAGGTTTCCGGATTAGAAAGGTTTCCGAATTAGAAGGTTTTTTTACATGTATTTGCATGTTACATGTATTTGTAAAATAGTTTAAGGAAAGAAAACGGGAATGCATTTGAAATTGCAATTTAGATATTTTATTTTTGCAGTCTCTTATCGTTCATTTTATTACATGTGAATACAAAAATAAAGAAATATAAATAAATGAATAAGCAAAAATATTATGTCCTCAAGGGTAAGTTAACCTACGATGTTAAACAGGAGGCCGAGACATGATAAAATTTTCGTACCAGCATGTGTTAATTGTTGTTAACTCTCATCCGATTCAGCGACTATCCGGATTCACTGTCAGTTTCCTTTAATTTTCATTGCTTAATCACGTATCATTGAATCCATTACAAAGGATTAAAAGATATTTCTATTGCATTATATCAAAATATTTATTGAATGTGACAAAAAACAATCAATTAAGCAATTATAGAAGATATGAAGGCAAGCTAAGTGTAATTTTCACACCTTCGCAGATCATACGTTTCACCCATTAATCAAGCGAAATAAAACATCAGTTTGGTGTATGTCCCGCTTACACCTGCAATATGTGCGATTATTTGTTATTTTGAATGAAGGTGTAACATTTGGCAAAATCTGTTCGGATCCGAGAGGTAAATTTTAGAGTAATATAAGAACAAAAATTGAAAAAATCGTCCGGAATTCGGAGTAGACAGGTTCCGGATCCGTAAGGTTTTTTACTATTGAAAATAGAACATACGGAGACGGCCCACTGAATTTTCGACCCATATCTCCTATAGTAAATCCATCACATTTAAGGCTAAATTCTGGACAAAGCAAATCCGGTACCGAAACTTCATGACCATTTCTTTAAACACCAATGCAGTCCAAGTAAATTTAGCACAAAAAATAATACATTAGCCCTTGGAGTTTTTCTGCAGCTTTTAATTTCTGTAATCACTATAGATAATTCCAAATAGTAACTGGTGTGTATTCTTGTGCATAGTGCCTCCTGAAACCTTCCACACAGAAATGAAATCCTGCAAAAATACATCAAAAACAACCTTTAAAGTACTCAGAAATGAAACTTTATGTACACAATTACTAAAGATATACTTAAAATATAACCAGTATCAATTAAGATGACTTGAAATAGGCCATTTCAAAATTTAAAAGAACTACTCTCTAGACTACAACGGGCTGGGTCTAATTCCGTACCGGGTTGAGACCATACAAAATCGGGACCGGACACTTCGTTCGGATAAGAAAGGATTCCGGATTAGAAGGGTTCGGATTAGCAAGGCTCCACTGTAGTTCTTGATTAAAAACTTTTATAAACCAATTAACGTTTCTTAAAATTTAAAAAGGATTCTCCATTAAAATTTATTTAGAATAAATTTGATTTTTAAGTTAGATCAAATTAGGTAAGACTTCACCTCATTGTCAAATTTGAGCTAAATAAAAGCACTAGTGCGTTGTATAATTGTGTAAGATAAAAATAAATAAATCAGAAACATACATCGAAAACATTAAAAAAAATTCATCCGGCAAATATTAGGAAAATAATACTCTGAACATTTTTGTGGTTTTGTTTGCTGTTTTTTGTTTTTATTTTACAGTAAATTTGAGGTTTGATACGGAAACATGAAGATTTCAAACCTTATACACATGAGCTGTTTGATCGGTAATGCTTTTCTATTATTTACATGTACATAATGTTGCAATATATATAATGCACATGAAAGAAATCCGTATAAAGTAGAGTCTGATCTGAAATAAAGTTGTAGATGTAATGACCTTACGCCACTCTTTAATATTTTACTTTTTATTTTCTTCCTATGTTGAAATCTGGTTGCTATGGCAACAAATAGGCTGAAAATATGGCAATTTTTACACATAAACTGGATCCAGTGATAACGCAAAAAGTACTGGAAATATTTATATGAAACTTAAAATATGGGTAGATGGCAGTCTGGAGATTATGCAAGTCTTTTTTTCTTCCTATGTTGAAAATTCTGGTTGCTATGGCAACAAATAGACTGAAAATATGGCAAATTTTACACATAAACTGGATCCAGTGTTAACGCAAAAAGTGATTGAAATATTTTTATGAAACTTATAATATGGGTAGATGGCAGTATAGAGATTATGCATGTCTTATCTTTTCTTCCTATGTTGAAAATTCTGGTTGCTATGGCAACACATAGACTGAAAATATGGCAATTTTTACACATAAACTAAATCCAGTGATAACTCAAAAAGTACTGGAAATATTTTTATGAAACTTGACATATGGGTAGTTGGCAGTCTGGAGATTATGCATGTCTTATCTTTTCTTCCTATTCTGAAAAAATATTGGTTGCCTTAGCAACAAATAGGCTTAAAACATGGCAAATATAACAATATTTGTGATTAGTCAAAAAGAGCTGAAAATGTTTATGAAATTGCATCTTTAATTCAAGAGTTATCTCCTCTTTAAGAATATTGCTTTTAAAAATGTTATATTTTGGTAACAGGGATGTTTCAAATATTAACTTTAGAGTGTCCTTCAGTCCGTCTGTCTGTCTGTTCATAAAAACTGTTTCCTGTGATCACTTTTAAAGAACTTTCCCAAGAACTTAAAATAGAGAAAAATTGAAACATTAGTGAATTGCCAATGGCTCTTCAGAATGTTGATGGGGTTCTAACCGGTAGGGGACTTATGAATTGCTTGCAATACTATGATAATTGCTTGTTATACTGAATTTGACCTTCACTGGTAAATGACAATGACTTTCAAAGTCAGACATTTGAATTTCGTTTGATTTTTGTTACAATTGGCTAGAACAAATTTTTATATATGAATGGGTTGTCTGGGACACAATAATCCTTAGGACAAGACCTTTATGAAGAGCAAATTAATTTTGAATGATCTTGACCTTCAAGGTAAAATTATTGAATATTATTTGTTTTTAGCTCACCTGTCACAAACAGATATGGTGAGCTTTTGTGATCGCTTTTCGTCCAGCGTCCATCATCCGTCCAGCGTCCGTCCGTAAACGTTTTTCTTTAAATCAACATTTCCTCATAAACCGCAAAGCCAATTTCATCCAAACTTCACAGGAATATTCCTTTGGTGGTCTCCTTTAAAGATTATTCAAATAATTTAATTCCATGTAAAACTCTGGTTGCCATGGCAACTGAAGAAAAAACTAAAAATATCTTCTTTTAAAAAACCCAAAGAGCTAGAGCATAGATATTTAGCGAGAAACATCTTCTAGCGGGTGTTTACCAAGTTTGTTCAAATAAAAGCCCTGGGATCAAAATTGACCCCGCCCAAAGGAGTTAATGATTTTCCTTATATGTATATAGTAAAAACTTAAAAATCTTCTTTTAAAAGATACTAAAGAGCTAGATGTTATATATAAAGCATGAAAAAATCTTAGGGGTGTCTACCAAGTTTGTTCAAATAAAAGCCCTGGGGTCAAAATTTGCCCCACCCCAGGGGGTCATTGATTTTTCTCATATGTACATATCTTTTGTTGTTTTCCCTTAGCAATAGCAATGCACATGCACTATTTCAGATACAAATATGAACTTTGTGATATAAATTTTATATCTGGTTTTGTTCCTTGTCATGGAGAGTTTAATATTCTGGTGACTGATTTCAGGACCATCATGACCCTGTGGTTTCTGATCATTGAGTTTTGTCAGAGTTATGGCCATTTAATGATTTTAAATTTTCAAATTTGTCCGGATTACTCCTCTTATACCACTAATGGAATTTAAATGAAACTGTAAGGAATTAATTGGTAGCTCAAGTTCTTGTGCATATTACACAGGTTTTTAGGTTGAATAATTTTTGGTCGAGTTATGGCTATCATGAGGCAACACATGTGATCACTGATCGCTCTTGTTTTGATTTGGTAATATTATTTGATAATAAAATGTAACAAAAAGATATGAAAGCACATATATTGACATTTGCATCCATTTGTCCATTTGTTACACACAAGAATTATGATTTTGATCAGTAGAAATTCAAGTCTTAATACTGTCTGCTTATGACCACATCTTTTATTGGCCAGCCAATACTCCAGAAAGGAGTTTGCATATATGAAAGTTTGCTGCATTGTTTCTTGCCATTTGCTGAAGAGAAAGCAGGTAGCAATTTAATGCTTGTTGAGGTCTGTTTTCTTGTTCCATACATTGTCCTAAAATGTTGAGAGCTGTTTCTCTATGTCCAAGGTTTTTATCAGTTACTATGGTTCTTGTAAGTTTACTAAGTGCTTGTTGTTGATCTTGATGTCTTTGTAGATGACTGTAGATCTTATATTGTAGGAAGTACAGGAAAGGTAGAGAATCAATTACAGCGCAGTCCACCCAGTTGTCTTCATACTGATCTCTGTGTATCATGTCATCTTGTGTAGATCTGAACATTTCATATTGTAGTTCATGAGGAACACAGTTGATCTCTTCCTGTATGAATCTGACACAAAATGCTGTTATATGTTTGATACAGTCCTCACTTTGTTCACCACAAACCCTCTCAAATTCTGCTGTTACTGCTGGTGGAGGCTTCCCCCAGCAGCTACAGATAGGAAGAACAGGATAGGAGTAATATTGTTGTTCAGTGTGTTTTAGTATTAGTTCAGCTTTCTCCATATCTCCAGTACTGTAGAACACTGAAGCCAATTTAAGTCTGCTAGATGAGATATCTGAGTTTAAACCAGCTGATAACCAAACCAATGCTTGAGGTGACACTTGATTATTTTCACCAATGCTGAATGATGCCAGAATAGATCCATATGTGGTAAAAATAAAAGGTGCTAGAAACTTGAATGCAGCCTGTTCTAATCTGTTACCATTAACATTGAAAGTAATTAGTTTACCTATACAATGCTTCATTGTTCTAATGTTTTTTGTGTGTAAATGTTTTAAAACAAAGTGATGAGTTTCCCTTATTTTGTATGCTATGTTTAAATAATTTAAGGTCATATAAATATCATGTATCGCAAGAGAAGATTGATAATAATATGCTCCGTGTGGTACCATGTTCAGTTTAACTTGCAATCTATAGCCAAGATCATCAATATCAATTCTAAGTAACATTTGTCTGTCATTCTGTAAAAAATCACTTATATTTTTTGAAAGTTCATGTTTTTTTTCAGCTGTAAATTGCCCTGCCATCAAATTGTTTTCTCGGATAATGAAATGTGAACAACGGTCATTCTGTACACAGCTATGTAGTTCTAATAAGCAGTATGTTAAGCATATAAATAAATTGTTCTCTTTCCATATACTTGACTCTGTGTTTTCTATACAGTGTAAAAGAACTGTTTTACACATGAAACTTGATATATTAATTGTCCCCTGAGGATTAAGGAAGGATTTAAGAATCATTTTCAATAATACATAGCACCTTATTTGTGTTATATTTAGGTTAAACATAAGGCACCTTTCTGTCAGGGATGTAGATATTCTCCATTCCAGTTCAGGATATTCACTGACCTTACTTCCAGTTGGAACAACAAAACACCCAGTACTGGCTGCATATCTTTTCATGTCTTGTGTTGGCCATCTGCCAATACCTTGTCTCTCTAACCAATTGGATGCTGAGTGAGGCCATGATTTACAAGAAAAAGCTGGCACAGTGTCTGTATCAAAGAATCCATGCCGTCCTTGTAAAGCATTTGACGGTCCATGATCTGTAGCACCCTGAATGGCACCATTATATATTGTGTTTTTTAACAATATTCTTCCACTTTTATCAGTTATGTAGCGTTCATTAGGAATGTAAGTAACAGGAAGAGGTTCATCATTTCGGAGCAGTTGTAAGAAACAATAACCAGGGGTAGTGTTCTCATCCTGTATCATAAGGTAGTTTAACTTGCCATGTTCCCATTCTGACCAGTCTTGTATTATATTGGCAGCATTTAAACAGAATAGTTCATCAACGTCTGAGTGAAGTCCTATAGTAGTTGTACCTTCACTCTGACTCCCTAGAATATAGCAAGTTATATTTTTATCAGTTAACCTGAGAATGATATTATCCATAGTATCTCTCAGCATTAAATGTCTTCTCCTTCTCATCACCATTCTTTCATTGACACCAATGTCATCTAAAACCTCTGATAACATCAATGATAAGTTTTCTATGTAGTAAGGTTCTTGAAACATTCTGTAATATATTAGTAAAAAGGAAAAATTGTTTCAGTCAGCAACCAAGTTTATTTTGTCACATACTTCATGTTACTTAACTGACCTTGGTGTCCTAGAACAGAACAGTACGGAATAGCCAGTACAAGATAGCCAATTTGGAAAGTTTACATAATTTTAGGTAGATATCGATAAATATAAATTTAATTTTATAGATTTCTTTTATTCCTTTTATCTATTTGTTTCAATATTTTTCTATTTTTATTACATGAACATTTTGATGTCAGTGTACTAATAGATGAGGGGATGTGTGGATAACTAATTTCTTAATACTGAATGTTGAAAAAAAACAAAAAACAAACAAAAAAACAAAAAAATTATAAAAAATAAATAACTTAGTAATATTTTATCAATAGTAAATTGAACTAGTCCTTTAAAATAACATTTTTGATTTCCAGAGTTACATTTATAATATTTTTTAATCAATACATAGTTACAAATTTGATTAAATTTTGTGTAAAAAATACATTATATTAAATTGTAACTTTAAGCAGAAGCTAAGAAAATGATACTCGAATTAAATATAAACTTTATTAACTGACATTAAACTCTTACATATTAAATCTTCAATGAAATACTTTGTTAAAATATTATGTGTACAAAAATAAATCATAAACTTACTTTGAAATGTTGATTTCATACTATGTCGCAGAAACAAATCAAAGGAATTGTATTGACTCTGTTTCGCAAGATCGAAAGAAATTTTGCTACTTTTACTTCCTCTGATGATGTGAAGAGGAAAATAACTCATTTTTTCATCCTTTTGTTTTATAAGAAAATTTGATTGTTTCCTCTGTTGGAAAAAAAAACCAACAACATACATGAAACTATAAGGACTATAAGGACTTTAATATAAAGTGCTTTCTATTAAAGCAATAAAGAAATTATTATAAGACAACATATGAATTAAAATTATTTAATCTTTTACCTCATATAGACGTGTTTTGATGGCTTTTTGCCCTCCCCCCTTTTTGAGGCCTCAAACAGTGAAAAAACGCCCTATTTAGCTCCAAAACACTTTTTCGTTTAAAAAAAGTAACCACTTTTTCGGCGCCGCGTCCCATCAAAATGGTACATCAGGGATGTGCCCCCTTCTGTTTTGGGAGTTTTTGAAGGGGGCGGTATTCCCCGACATCATTAAGAAAATTTTGGACATGTGATAGGCTAAAAATGGCCTCGGGTCGATCTTAGGGTAACTAGTAACCGGCGCAGAAAAGCCTTTTATTCTATTTCAATTCATTGAGAAGTTACAGCACTTTGAAATCAGTTTTGATGGGGAAAACATGCAAAATAGTGTAATTTTTGCAATTTTGAGATGTTCCCCCGTTGCCATGGTAACAGGAAATTTACGATTGAGTATGCTGTTACAGAGGCTATGGTCCAGTCAACATTTGTGCCATTTAGTTTCATCAGTATTGAAGCATTTTCATAGTTTCATAGCAGTTTGAACTTGTAACAGACATGTCTAATCAAGATTTTAATATTGAAAATTTAATAAATTTAGAAAGAAATGCATATTATTTAAATACTGACAGAGTTTTCATCATGCTAACTTTGAAATGAATATCGTACAATCAGTACAGTGCACTCCGGATACAACGAGATCGTCGGGTCTTCGGATGATTCCTCGTTATAACCGGGTCTCGATATAACCGGCACAGATCAAATTGAGAAATCCGACACCGTTGAACATCATTTATTTTACTTTCGCTTTCGCGTGCATCCTTTTTGAAGAGTATATATAATAATGGGAGGTAACTCTTTGCAATAATAAGTACATTTTAAAATTCTTTTTCAAAAGTCACACAGTGCATTTTTCTCACGAACACCGAATAACACCGCAAGACATTAGCCGCTTCTTTTGTGCTAATCACTCTATGAAATTGTTTTGTTATCACATTTCGTCACCTTAAGGACAATTTAGCCCGGAGCGCTGACAAAACAAGGCTTACACATTTGATTGCTAATTGCTCGACCCATTATCTCGTCCCGCGTCAATAATTTCTTCCTTAATTGACCTTTATTATTGGTCATCATTGTTTTTCTGAAGGTGACAAACTGATGCAGACGAAGTGCAAATGAAGTGACCTCGTTAAAATTCTAAAAAACACGCATGGGACGGCGAAATTATACACGTTGTAACCGATATCTCGCTAAAACCGATCTGGTTATAAACGATAAAAAATTGAAAGGAAAATAGAAGGAAAAAGGCCGGGACACAGTAGAATGTACGTTATAAGCGGTACCTCGTTAAAACCGATCTCGCTATAAGTGGATTAGTACATGTATTATGGTTGATAAATTTAAAAAAATGGAAATAAAAAAAATAAATAAAAAAAGATACTATTTTTTGTGGTAAAACTGAGTATTTTCATGAGAAAACATTTCTACCACCCTTGCGGCTGAGGGGTTGCCCGTAAGGGTTGAGGCATCAGAATTGCAGCCATCGTTTATCTCTGTGTTATCATAAAAGGGGACTAAATGGGTTTGAATTATTTGAGTCTTTCTTAACTCCAGCAGGTGAGCTGGCTTTGACCCCAGGTGTTGCTCATCCAGGGTTATCCAAATTCATCTTTCCTGTTTCAGCACCATATAACCTTACTTAAGTTGGTTCCATGTAAAACCAATCCAAACAAAAACAAACAAAACAAAACAAAAAATAAAAAACTATGTAGGTTTACAAAATAATTATATGGCAATAGATCTTCTGATAAAATTTGGTCCTATATGTTATTAGACCCCTACTGGTTTCACTGGAGGGGACTTTAGGTTTACCCTCCATCCGTCCGTCTGTCTGTCTGCCTGTCTGTCTGTACAAACATGTATATACTTAGAGGGCTATTGGAAGAGTAAATTTCCTTTGATGTTTTCCATTCAGTAAGCTCTTATTTGGCTACTTTTTCTCTTACTTGGTTAAAAGAAGAATAGAGAGAACAAAAGAGTAGCCACTTATATACCAGACTTTGAGCATGTCCATTCTTCAAACTGTCCATCCATCCATCCATCCATCCATCCACAAAACTGAATCCCTTGATAACGCAAAAAGTACTGAAAATATTTTTGTGAAACTTGAAATATGGGTAGATGGATGTCTGAATTTTATGCATTTTTCTTTTCTTCCTATGTTGAAACATTTGGTTGTTATGGTAACATATAGATTTAAAATATTGCAAATATAACACAAAAACTGGATCCCGGGATAGCGCAAAAAGTACTGAAAACATTTTTATGAAACTTGTACATTCTTCTACATTCTTCTACATTGTATGGATAGGTGGCAGTCTGGAGATTGTGCACATCTATGTCTATGTTGGAAAATTTAATTGCTATGGCAACAAATTGGACTTAAAATATGGCTAGACATGTATTTGTGATAAATAAAAAAATACTGAAAATATCTTTAAAAAAACTTATACTATGGATAGATATAGAGATTATGCACTACTAGGTTCACAACTTTAGCACCAAAATTATAATACCCCCTGCACAACAAAGTTTTAAGTGTGTGTGTGTGTGTGTGGGGGGGGGGGTGGTAAACTGGAATCAGCTTGTCCGTCCGGTCGTCGGGCGTCCGTCGGTTTCTTTTTTGTCCGCCCAATAACTTAAGAATCCTTTGACCCACAGTCTTCATATTTGGCATGGAGGTTAGTTATGATTAGTAGATGGCCCCTATTGATTTTGAGGTTACCAGGTCAAATGTCAAGGTCACAGGGGCCTTGACTTCAAAAAGCTTGTCTGCCAAATAACTGAAGAATCCTTTGACCCACAGTCTTCATATTTGGCATGGAGGTTAGTCATGATTAGTAGATGACCCCTATTGATTTTGAGGTTACCAGGTCAAAGGTCAAGGTCACAGGGGCCTTGACTTCAAAAAGCTTGTCCGCCCAAAAAACTTAAGAATCCTATGACCCGCAGTCTTCATATTTGGCATTGAAGTTATTTATGATAAGTAGATGACCCCTATTAATTTTGAGGTTACCAGGTCAAAGGTCAAGGTCACATGGGCCTTGACTTCAAAAAGCTTTTCAGCCCAATAACTTAAGAATCCTTTGACCCACAGTCTTCATATTTGGCATGGAGGTTGGTCATAGTTAGTAGATGATCCTACAGGTTTTGAGGTTACCAGGTCAAAGGTCAAGGTCACAGGGGCCTTGACTTCAAAAAGCTTGTCCGCCCAATAACTTAAGAATCCTTTGACCCACAGTCTTCATATTTGGCATGGAGGTTGGTCACGATTAGTAGATGACCCCAATTGATTTTGAGGTCACCAGGTCAAATGTATATGTCACAGGGGCCTGGACTTCAAAAAACTTGTCCGCCCAATAACTTAAGAATCTTTTGACCCACAGTCGTCATATTTGGCATGAAGGTTAGTCACGATTAGTAGATGACACCTCTTGATTTTAAGGTCAAAAGTCAAGGTCACAGGGGCCTTGACTTTAAAAAGCTTGTCCGCCCAATAACTTAAGAATCCTTTGACCCACAGTTTTCATATTTGGCATGGAGGTTAGTCATGATTAGTAGATGACCCCTATTGATTTTGAAGTCACTGGGTCAAAGGTCAAGGTCACATGGGCCTTGACTAAAAAAAAGCTTGTCCGCACAATTGCTTAAGAAGGCTTTGGTCAACACTCTCCATATTTGGTATTGAGGTTGTTTATGACTAGTAGATGACGCCTTTTGATTTTTAGGTAATTGTGTCAAAGGTCAAGGTCACAACGATTTTACTATAATAAGCTTGTATGCTCACATGATTAAGAATGCCTGTCCGCAGTGTATTGATTTTGACATTTTCACCTTTGAAGCATGTAGAATACATAACTTAGCAATACACTGGCTTAGTAAACTCAGATTTTGCAGGGAGGTTTTCTTTGAGCTCTCAATGGTCACTGTTGATTCTGACAAAGTGTTATGCGGGGATATTCACGCCATGACAGTGGTAGTTCTAGTTAGATTTACCTCCTCTTCTCTTAGAAAAAAAAATGTTTTTGTATAACTTCTTTTTATTAATGTATCTACTTCATACTTTAAATATATGTTTTTTATCATCACCCACAACATATGTGGCAAGGTTCATATTTCTATTACTTACCAGAATTATCATCCTTGAACTCAGGAACTTTCATGAAAAAAATGTAGTTTTCTATAACCTTTTTCATTTAAATTTTCTTAAGATGTCTACTTCAAACTTCAAGTACATGTATATGTTCCTTATTATGACTCAAATCATGTGTGAGGAGTTTCAATATCTAGCTTGACTATTTCCAGCATTATGCCCCCCTTTGAACTTAGATTGTTTTCTATAAATTATTTTTTCCCCTCATTTTAAACAGGATTTACTTCAAACTTCAAATTCCCAGATCATTATAATATGACAAGGTTACATTTCCAGAATAATCTTCCCTGTTTCAAATTTGATTTTCCCTTTTTTATTCAATTACTCTTATTTCTTCATGGATTTACTTTAGATTTCAAATATATGTTCATTATTAACACTTACATCATATGGGATTAGATTTATAAGTCTAGCACCTGGGTTTATTACTATTGTGCCCCAACTATTGGAGGGGGGGGGGGACATTTATGATTACTGAGCCCCCCACTATAAGGGTGGGGGGAGCATTTAGATTTACCCTTGTCCATCCATCCCTCAGTCTGTTCTCTTTTTGTGTCACACATAGATTAAAAAGTATTTGACCTAGAGTCATGAAACTTTACAGGAATATTACTCAGCATGTGAAGGTGTGCACCTTAGTTTTCGCTTGTGAATTAATTCTGTTTTGTCAAAAGTATTGCCCTTGACTTAAAAAAAATGGCAATTTTCAACTTGTGTCACACAGCCCAAGAAGTGTTTGACCTTGGGTCATGAAACTTTACAGGAATGTTGATCAGCATATGCAGTTGTGCACCTTGGGTTTCGCTTGTGAAATTATTCTGTTTTGTTAAAGTAATTGCCATTGACTTAAAAAAATGGCAATTTTCAACTTGT